TAAAAATTTTCGAACATATCGACAAAAAAAAAAAAGTATTCCTTATTTTGTATCAGACGGCTTCCCCCTTTAAAAAAATTTTAAATCTTTTACTGTATGCACATAAAGTATGTTTGCCCACAATTAGGCAATGTTTAGGGATATGACTTTTAGTAAAGGGAAAGACTTACCCTTTGTTTTTTGTAAATTTAACGGATTTAAATTTCCTATTATATTAGTTAGCGAGAATTTTTTCTGAAAAAAGTCTTTTTTCCTTTTTACTGTTTTTATTTAATGCTTTTCATTTCTGTATCTCATTGGTGCTTATTGGTGCTTCATTCATGATAAATGAGGCTATCATGTTTTTTCGCCCGGGTTTTACCCTCAGTAACTATGAAGTTTATGTCAAACAATGTCTGTTTTTTAAAGTAAGGTTCCCTTTGTTCACACACAGCAATAAACATTTCTGCTGCACTGTGTAATGGATTAGTACAGTACTTTCTTATTGGAAGAGTCCAACTTTAAGGGATTTCAATATCAACAGACGAAAAATAGCTACTTACAATATTTTAGTAGAGCCTTAAAAAAATACACGTCAGAAAATCAAATTGCAAAACTAATATAAAAATATACCGTTAACTCCACAGTGCTTCTCACTTGACAGAATTTGTGTAAGGGGTCGAACATTTAGCGAAGCGATACTTCTTTAAGCGAGGTGAAATCATGCGATACGGAATAATGGCGGATTAATTAATGTAAACTTACGTCAGAGTGAGTGTATTATATTGATTATTTCATAATTCTTCAATAACAATTACATATTAGCAAGTACCTTTGGGCTACAATATACATAGACACTTTAAAATATTTAAGTGTACGCTGGGTTTTGGTGCGATAAAATTTTTGTACGCTTCTAAAGGTTCGATATTTTTTTATTTTTACATCTTTTGTACATGTTTTCCTTCCTATTACTAACTTATAAAGTATGTATCATATCAAGTAATATCTTTCTAATGAAAAGTTTTATATTATGTGTGTTCAATAATATCCCAATAAGTTGTATTGCTTATTGTTCTTTTATTGTTTCAGTGACCAACTGACCAACTGTTTTAAAGACACAGCAAATTAAACATATTTATTACTTTTATGCTAATTTTACCATATACTTTATGAAAACAATGGTCCCTATTTCTACCTTAAAATTGAGTTATCATGCTAAAGAGGTGATTTTTTTCTATGAATGAAATGGTTGACACATAATAATGATCTTGTTAAATAGAGGTAGCAAACCAACTTTCTTTGCAAAATCACCTCATACATTCCACAGTGATTCCATGCAAAAGTTGTCAACAAGTTGTTTGCGGCAGTCGGCAAGTGAAGATAGCACTAATAACAGTGTTTTGGAGGATAATGCCGCTTCATACATGTATATGCATTTTATACACACAAATTATGCATATGGAAGTTTACATGATGTACTTGATAGGGAACCCTATAATTTTGGCATACTTAAGTGGGTATTTTATTTATATAAACTTATATAAGACATGTCACTCATTTCCATACTTATTAACCTGTAACAATTATAATTCATTTTCGGAGACACGTTGATGGGTTCTACCTACCACATACATTTTCAGGTCAAAAATCACTGGGACATAATATATCATAAATTCATCGGGTCTACAGGAAAGTGCGTATACATAGGGACTTGATTCGTTTTATGTGAATACATCTTGATATATCAAGTCCTCAGGAAACCGATTTAGAGCCAATTGCCACCTTATATATATTAATGAATGTAACGTTCCTCTTTGTTTATTTTGTAATCATTTAGGTTGTTGTTAAACTGAAAGATACATTTGTCAATTTGACGTAAAAACATACCCAATGAAATAGAATGGCAAAGCGAACCGTTACCAGCTTTTTAAAGCTAACATATTGGGAACAATTGTACGTAATTAAATGCTTCGATAAAGATCCATCCTATTAAATATCTGCCCTTTTTTCCAAGATTATACAAAATAAGATTATATTGAAGATTGTTTATTATTCAAATGGTTCAAATTTATATAAAAAACAATCTGAATTCGAGTTTTTATCTCTCTTTTTTATGGCAGGGACTGTATACAGCAGGGATCAATAGATTCACTTAAATCTCATTTGACACGTAGGTATTTCAGGAACAAGACACGTCACCCAAACAGCTCTCGAACTTTTAAGACACTTCACCCACAAGACAGTTCACCGCCTAAATTCAGAAAGACACTTCAACCCTCATCCCTTTTTTATCTAGAGTAAGTATTTATACAACAGATATACAGGTCTAACTTTATAATGTAATCAAGTACATGCTATACATATACATTCTTTAATTATAATCACTATTGGTTACATTCCAAATTTTTCACTTTTATTTTTGAAATAAAATATGGATGAGGTGAACTGTTTTAACCAAATTTCATGAAAATAGGGGTGAAGTATCTGAGAGGTATTCGAAGTGCCTGCAAACATTATTGGATGAAGTGTCTTACGGGCTTACTGTCTGTAATTCGACGATCACCACCCACAACCCCTACCCACACATGCAATTTGCAAAATTATGATGTAAGTTCATGATTAAAGCTACTATCAAACACATTGTACTTTTAGCGATTTGGAAATAAAATGTCAACAAAGATAAAATTTTACGATAGACTTGTTCATTTGATTAATAAAAGTCTTGTTCGACGAAAAATGACCTAAGTAAAGTTTTTGCTAGGTTTAACATGCTGTAATTTTAAACCGTTCAAATGATTTATTTCGTAAAAATTAACTTGTATACTAAATACACCCGTTAATTGATTGCAAGTAGATATGTTGTTGCGAGTAGAATAATTGTGCGCTTGGTAATTTGTTTTTATGCTTTGTCCGTCCGTCCGCTTTTCTTTTCCGGGACATAACTCTGAAAGAACAAGAGGTATCAGCATGAAACTTTGTAGTTAGATAGAGCTCATTGGGTAGAAGTGCAGTTTAGAGGAACCATAACTCTGACAAGACTGTCACAATACCTCATAATATGAGTATAAGCTTGATTGAACCCAATCAGCATGGATAATTTAGGAGATAATTTGTGTTAATCATAAATTAAGTAATTATAGTCGTAAAAATTGAAGTTAAAGCTGTTCGTGTGGTCACATTAGTCGTTTTACTTCGTCCTGTTAGTCGAAGTTGTACAGATAAGTGTGGAAGTCTAATTAATGGTAGAGATCGCTGTAAGTAACAACTTGTAGAAGTAGAAGACATCGTAGTTGTGGTTTAAAACGTAACTGTAGTCTTTGAAATTCAATCATCGACTAAGCCGTACTAGCCGGTGTTTTTGGCAGTCGTCGCAGCCACCGTATCTGTTTCTACTCGGGTAAGAAGTCGTTGTATTCTTCGTGTTCTTATCCGTACTAATATATGTGTATAAGTTGTAGTTAAAGAAATGGCTCTAGTCGTTGGCATAGTTGGTTACGTCGAATTGGTAGCCTTAGTAGTGATAGTCGTTGTCGTTATCACAGCTGTATTCATTATCATTAAAGTCGTAGAAGAAGATGACGATATCGTTGAGGTCATTGTTGTTGTGGTCGAAACTTAACAAGGGTTTAAACAATCATCATTTTCGTCTTCTTACAAACATGAGCTATGGCGATATTCATCAGCTTGACATATACAGTTAAAGGTAACTGTATTTGTTGAAAACTGTATAAATATAATTATAGCAGTATATGTTATTAAAACAGTAAGTTGCCGTCATAGACAATCTCTTATTACCAAAATTGTTTGCTAGTAGCTTAATTTATATTTGTTGGTTTGTGGGCTTGTTTTTATTTGTTTGTTTTGGGTTTGTTTACAACCATGCAGATGTGTTAAAATCTGAAAGATTCTGGGAAGAATGAAGAAATTTGTGCTTGAAAATTTGCACAGAAGCCACTATTTAATATGCTGTTTCTTTTCCTAGAGGAGGTACCCCAGAATCCTCCTCCTTCAAAAGGACAATAAAGGTTTAGCCACCACATGCCCTCTCCCCTCCACCTCAACAAGTAAAATGATAATTACAGGCCTGTATACATCAACTCTGAGCAACACCAACAAACCAAATAAAGAAAATATATTTTATTATATATGGCAAAAACATTACATACAAGCAGCAAAATTAATATATGTATATATCTATTGTAAATTATCGAATCACTGGAGCAAAGTGAAACTCTGTCTTCCAATAGACATGATATGGATGCTACAAAGAAAGTTGTTACTAAACATTGTGTGTCTAAATTGTCTCCATACAAATCAGGAGATTTAAACATTAGAAGTTTGTGTTAATCGCTTTGTCTATGATTTTTTTTACTTATTTTATCGATTTTGTCTAAATTACTAATTTGTTAAATAAATGCATTGTAAAGTCACGTGATTTCTTGTTTAGTCTACTTTAAAATGATTTTAAATGGTTTCTTAACTTATTCTCCAATGTTTATTTACGCTTTAGCAAACTAATATTACAAATATTCCCTTTCTTTATTAAAACACTGACATAAGTTACAACTGACAAATGTTAAAAATGTTGCAAAATATATCACTTATTAGCAAATCCACAACAATTTATAACACATACACCATTTTATAAAGTTCAATCAATATCTATGACAAATTTACATTGACTTTAAACATTTGTAAAATCATTGTAACTTTAATAGTTGATTATTTTTATATTACTATATAACTGATAAAATGATTAAAAAACGACATTAACAAATGGTCGAGTGCATATACTCTATCTACTTATGCATGAAATAGACCATTCATTTTTCTCATATAAGTGTGCATTTTTCCTCCCAAATATTTCCTCCAAATTACAAACAGGCAATATGTCACGTTTTCAATACGGAATTTATCAAGTGTTTGTAAATAGTAAAGCCATTGTTGTTGTTTTTTTTTTCATATCTTTCTTAATCAGACTTCCTTTATATTATGATCTCAAGTGAAACAATTTATGAAAGCATCATAGTATATAAACTTACTGCGCTTTAAACACTGTTCGTTATTTAATAACATTACAAAATGTCAATTTTTCTTTTTACAATTTTTGCAGTAAACGTTTTAAATTCAGGTGATAGTGCAGAAGTGTGCTCACAATTTGAGAGTGACAAACGTTTAATGGAATATATGATCGAAACAAGATATGAAGTGAAGAATCTGGCGAAAGATTTGAGAAGAACAGAGGAGTATCTATTAGGCGTCTTGGAATGGCGCAGAAAAGAAATGAGGCAATTTGAAGAAGGAATGCTGAACATTTCAGAAAAAGTTAACAATCTTCAAGGTGACTTATGGTTTTAATCTATTTAATCTAGAGTAACATTTATTCAATAATTGCAATATACCTCTAAACATACAAATTAATATCTTTAAATATACTTTTTCAAAATCTTTAAATGTGAAAATCAATTTCTTTAAGTATATTTGGTACTTTTTTGTCATCTAAATAGCCAAAGATGATAACCAGAAGATTTATAACTTATTCTGTGTCAATAAATGCACTTAATAATTATGTGAGTGTATGTACTTAGCTTTTTTCAATTTTTAAAACGCTTACATTTCCTATAATCATTGTATAGAAACCAAATGTATCATTCTCCGAATATATAAATGTGATTTTGTTATATTGATACAGCAAAAGTAAACGTTTTTTTTTTAATTAATTGATGTCAACAGTAGTTTATTAGATTTCATAGCATCTTAACTTTGGAAATGAAATTCTTCGTGAAAAAACTAAAATTAGGAAATGATCACACCACACCGTCTTATTGAAATCGGCCGCTAGTATAGTGTCAAACAATAAGATATTACACATATACATTTCATTGTGGAAATTGACTGCATATTTTATCAATCAAAATTAATTAGGCCATTTATAGGGAATAATTGAATAAAAAACCTTTCTTAACATGTCTGTAAAATATGTCAAAACCACGCTAATTTGTTTTATGTTAACTTTATCAATTTCTGCAATGATCGTGTATCATTGATCAGTGTTTTCAGTGATTACACTTATACATACTGAATGGACTTCTGCAATAAATCTGACGTGATTTTGCAAATTCTGTATGAATTTCTGTGAGTTTTTTATGATTAATTTATAAAGTCCCATTTTGGCTTTTCTAGTTCTAATTATGAGAAACTAAGTCATAATCAGGATTAACTTATTATAATTAGTCTTTTGTTCATTTAAAAACGTATTTCCGTGCGAAATCAACAACTTGAAAATTTGATTCCTAATGTGAACACGCGTTTCTTTCTGAGCACGTGTATGTCACGTTATTTTTCGTTCCAAAATGAAGACAGAGACAAAGTGATGCATACAGAGGACACTTTAACTCGGGCACAACTTCCGTTGTTTTAAAGATGATGCTGTTTCAATACACCAAATTGTTTCATTGTTTTTTATCAATAATCAACAATTTATTGATAATTTATTAGAAGACTTACATTTGTACACATTGATAAACTAAAAACATAACTCTCAGATACCGTTAAATGTTATAAGTCGCCGCGCTGTAAGCGTCTAGTAGATATGCATTCATCTATTCAGCAATCGGGAAAATTTTAAACTTGATTTTGTGTATCCTTTTTTTGTTTAAACAAATTCGCACTGTTTTCAAATAAAAAATAGCTTTTTTGATGTACACAATGTCACCGAGCTTTAAGGAATTAAATCTACGTTTAACTGAAGTGATAGTGTCATATCTAAATGTCATATTCTTTTTATCATTATCTAATTTTATTTACCTAATAAATAATATGCCAATGAGCCAGACTATTGTCGATCGTTCTAAAATTTAACAGTTGAGAGAGGTAACGACTGAGGCAGTGTCCCTTACTTTATCTGCCCCGCTTCTGTTGAAGTACGGCTCTGCCTGAAATTGTCACCAAATTTTATATGATGCATACTCTGTATGCTAAAATTTAGTCTTCGTTGACGGAGGGAAGGGAACTAGGACAACCATTATCAATATCACTTCCCTGCAACATTAGGACTAATCATTAAATTGCAATTTACAAAGCCTAAACCACGCCTACTATCAAAGAAGCGGTTCTCTCTCAATCTTAAGCTCAACCATAAAGTTTCAGACAGACCAGAGGCAAATATGCAATCTTGTTCTAAATCAAGTAGTTTAATCTTTAAGAAATAAGAAAACAATACGTAACTAAGAATTGATTATATTTAACAATATATTCATAACTATTATTTGATATAACAGACATATTTTTTGCTATTTGTAAAATAACAGAACAGTTCGTCCTCAAAATCATTCGAACAGTATGCAATTCGCACCAATATTTAAATGGACAAATTCTCGGCGCAACGAAGATATTTTTTACCTCTGTCTTTGTCTTGAATTTATTTAAAGTATACTAATCATTTCAATTTTACTTGTTATCCAATTTATTTTGCTTTGACAAGACCTTTCGATCTTTAGCGCAACAGGCAAACATTTCAGAATTTCAGACAAGGCATAACTTTGGGGATTTATGCCTAAGGTTCTACTTTTTCACAAAAATATGCAACGTAATTTTTAACAACGAGCACATACCAATAACATGGAGGAAAAATTGACTAGTGTTTCGGATATTCAACTGTAATAGAGAACGATTTCCAAGACTGATTTTGTACATTACCTGTGACTGTTCACATTATTTTGTGGCGTCTTTGATGTGCAGCATCAACATTTAACTTGTGAAAGGCTGATTTCATGCAAAAAGATCATCATTGTAGCAAGTATTATTATAACCAGCGTTGTTCAGGACAAATATGCTTATCATTTAATAGTGCTTAAACGCTGATTACTCCTATGCTTTTATTTGCAAGTAAAATTAGTTAATACGTTTTCCTTTCATCTCCTTATACACAATCATTTAGTAAATTTTTCGGAGGATGATAAAATTGGTTCCATACAGCGATTATAAGCTCTATTTTATATTTATGTTGACGACTTTCAAACAACAATGTACAAAAACAGACTTCTGATCTCTACAATTTTATTTGTTTCTTTAAAATGTTTGGTTTTCTAACTTCTGCATAACGAATAAGTGAAAAATCAATGTACAAGGTAATCACCAAACAAATATGCAATGTGTGTAAAGCAATTTCTTTGCACACAACGTAAGCACGAATTTCCTATTATTATCTGTTAATCTTTGAGAAAATTTTAATATAATTTCAAAATTGACAATATTGATGTTTAATTTTTTTCAGAAACGTTTGGTTACAAGACTGTAGCTTTCAGTGCTTATAATCCATTCGACAAGAGTTTACAAACAAACGAAATTCTTATTCTTCAGTCGGTGCTCATTAACGAAGGGCAAGGATACGATACTAAAAGTGGAATATTTACGGCTCCAACTAATGGCCTGTATCACTTCACCGCCCATGTTTGCAACACACACGCACTTGTCATTCACTACGCTATTGTGAAGGATGGTGAGTGGATAGCAAGATCACAACAGTTTGAACAAGCCGATGAAAATTCAAACAAATATGCCGGCTGTAGTTCTGTTAGCGCCCTTACAAGGATGGAAACAGGCAATCAAGTTTGGATAATGTGTACTTCCGGATATTCTTCAGCAGTTCAGATTCACGATGACAACCATCGTCGAAATTCGTTTATTGGTGTTCTTCTTCATACATAATACTTTAACAATTAATGAGATCGTTAATTGATATTTTAGTTTCGTCATCATTATATCGTTATCTTGTAAACTTAAATATTATCATGTTTTAGTAAATTACTTAAATTAAACTAAAAGTTATATTCATTCTAATATTTTAATGTGTGTTTCTTGTTTAAATAAACTGCATGACTACTGCAAAGACATTAATTACTTCATGCATCATGTTACAATTAAACAATGATATTTTATTAACGTATAAATGCAATCTCTGAATTTAATCATATTGAAATTGTTAAGTTAAAAGTTTACGACATTTACTAACGTTTCAAGGCGATGATTAAGAAATAACATCGGCCTGAGAGGTTTATATCGGCTATTTAACACCGGTTTGGAGTTTTGATGCGTAGGAATTGACCACGAAGGCCGTAGGCCTGAGTGGTTAATCTTTTCGCAACAAAACTTTCAGGCCGTTGTTATTTCGATTCTTACACGATAAAATAAGTAAAATCACTTAGGTAGCACTCCACACTAAATTTCAAGTTTCTGCCGTCAATGTCCTACAAGCAATATGTCTAATAAATCTGATCCCAAACTACACAACCTGGAAAAGAAAACACATTTTGTTAAGAACATATATGTCACAACATTGCAAATCTGTAATGAAATCATCCCATGTGCAACAGTCAGGCAGTTAAAAAAAATTCACATTCATTCCGTAAAAGCCAAAAATCTATAGTGGTCCGAGACCCAAAACAACATTTTTGTCCCTCCAGCAAAAAATACCTGCAAATATACGGACTACAGAAACTCTGTCACTGCTTTAGCCACTCCCTAAGCATGCAAACTATCACAAAGAAATAGGTGCTTGGCCTTGTAGATTTTTTGCTATTGCTGAAAGTTTGTACCCCCCTGTAAAATCACTTGTTTTCACCGAGCATGCTGTTTAAAAGCAATGTTTACAAACAATGGCGGCCTTGACATCTATAATAAACAGCATGTTATTTCTAACCATGTTTTCGAATTTGCCAATGATCATACTACATGTAACAAAAACAAATTTCATGCTGAAAATGCATTTTAAAGACAACCAGTCATTTAAATCCACATTAGTCACTATATCCATGAAATCCTCCCTGGCCATTCGAAGCTGTGGCTTCATTTAGTGTGGTGTGCTGCCTTATGTTATTTTTTCAAGCGGAAATAACTTCCGGTGCCGATTTTCGTATAACGCTGTTCGATTTTCGCACCCTACTATTGCAAAGATATAGAAATTATTAAACGATATAAATTATAAGGAAAAAACGTTATTTTATCAAAGTTTCACTATAAA